AAAAAAATTTAATATTGGTGTATGGATGGTTCCAGAGACACACAAGTCTATAAAGAAGACTCTAAAAACTAGTAATAGAGGACGTGCCTAAAGTTTTGAAGAAACTCGTTTAAAGAACAACGTGTTGAAAGTTCGCATGTATTTTGTTCCATTACTCTCGGTCGAACCAGTTGTAATGCCGGTTCAGCAAAATACACATTTCTCCGAAACTTATTTGAAGACATATTCTTGACTCATACTTTATAAAATCTTGACTCAAATCCTAAAGCAAATACTTTTCTTTCCTCGGCTATAATACCTCTTGGATAGACAAGGATTGCACCGCGACCTTGAGTCTATTGTGCCCAAAGTACCTCTTAAACGACCCAAAATTATCTAAATGAATTTTTAATCAGAAAACAAGTTATTAACAAAAAATTTATTGTTATAGATTTAAGAAAAATTTTAAACAATAATTTTCTGTAAGAATTTGGCTGGGTTTGAATTATTGTAGGAATAAAATACATACTGCACTGCAATGAAGTTATGTGGCAAATATATTTTGCTTAATTTTTTTAATTATTCTACCGTTATTTTGCGCAGAATTTCCATAAGCTGTTATGTTTCAAATTTCAATTGAACTAGCTAAGTCAATTAAAGCAACGCATTTTGTAAAATTTTCGCAAACTTTTACAACTTACTTACCAGTTTCCTTAATAATGCGCCTATAATTATATTCGAAATAAATTTTGAGTTGCATAACAGTAAAATTAAACTGTTACTTAATGCATAATTTTAGGCATTACTATTTTGTTACTTTGTTTTTGGGGAGTAAATGGAGGGAAGAATGTCAAAAAACCAATAAAATTTACTGTTTAAATATATTTCAATAATTCTTGTGGATTTTAAATTTAATATTTTTTTTATGCATTTATTTCAGTTTAATTTTTATTTATTTTGTTATTTTTTTTTTTTTTTTTGCATTAGCAACTATAATTTTTAATTATGCAAATATTTGTATATCTACTGCTGTGTATATATATATTTATAATGTATTTTTTTGCAATTTTATGTCTTTTTTTTTTTTTAGTTAGTTTACTCATTTAATATTCTGCTCTGCAAGTAGTTCATAATTTATGTATATTTGTATTGGCTTTTAAAATTTTAAGCTTTATTTACAAATCGCCATCAACAGAATGCTTAGCAAATACTCATCTGCTTCCCGCGCTACTGAATGCTTAAGTAACCATATTTTAATTTGTGTGTTTGTTGTGTTAAGATTAAAACCAATCCCGCCACCACATAGCACTTAAGCTTAATATTAATTTACTGCAATTATCAATTATTTAACCTTATTTTAAGCACTTTGGCTTTAATATTAAAAAGAAACGCTTCATTTTTTTGGTTTAGCACTATTTTTATCTCAATAATTTTATCTATATTTTTGTATATTTATTTTTTAGTATTGTATAAT